AAGTATAAACTGTCACTTAAAAACAAATATTTCAATTCTTCTAAATAATAATTTTTTACTCCGTCCATCCCTAAATTTACTTCCAACTTTCCCTTTTCGTCCGTCCCAAAAAGAATTTCACTTTCCCATTTCGGCAAAGAATTTTTGGTTCACAACAATTCTTACACATTTTTCTCTCCTCTGCACAACTCTCCACCACACAATTCCCACTTTCTTAATCCGTGTGCCATTTGTACTACAGAAGTAAATTTAGGGACGGAGGGAGTATAATTTTGTAAGCACTTTTTGGGATCCTTTTTAAAGTTGGCCCTAGGTGCATCCTTTTTTTAATAATGCATTATTTTCTTTTTACATGATCTAAAATCAGATGCATTCTTTTTCTTTCTAAGGGGCGTTTGTTAAGGTGTCAATTAATCACTTTACATGCAAAGTGTAGGGATGCAAACAATTTACACTGTTTGGTACGCTTATTTAATGTAAACTGTAGGGTACTATTTTAAAACATTTTACACTGTACCATGTAAAACACTTTACATGGGGGGGGGGGGGAGGGTGGTAAAATATTTTACACCCTTAATATAATATCAACAACAACAACATCCAAGCCTTAGTCCCAAACGATATTGGGGTCGGCTAACATGAATCGATACATGATAACACCACCAAAAGGAAAAGAAAGAAAATAAAGATAAAAAAGATAGGCTATTATGAAAAAGATAATATAAAAATAGATAAATATACCTAAAAAGATAAAATAAAAAGGATAAAAATAGTGTTTATATATATTATGATAAAAGGATAATAAAAAATGAGGGGAAAAGATAATACGAGATCACTCCTCCACACGAATACCCTCCCTCCACTTTGCTCTCTCCAAAGCCATACCCTCATCTAACCCAAGAAGAAGCATATCAATTTGGACTCCCCTAACCCACGTCTGTTTGAGCCTTCCTCTCCCTCTCTTCCATGCCTCTTCTCCACACATCTCAACTCATCTGACAGGTGCATCAATCGGTCTTCTACGCTCATGACCAAACCATCGTAGGCGCGACTCCCGCATCTTGTCTTCAATAGGTGCTACTCCCACCCTGTGTCTGATTGTCTCATTCCTCACGTGGTCCTTCCTAGTATGCTCACACATCCAACGCAGCATGCGCATATCCGTCACACTCATCTTTTGAATGTGAGATTGTTTCACCGCCCAACACTCTACGCCATACAGTAATGCAGGACTAATCGTTGTCCTATAAAATTTACCCTTCAGTCTAGTGGGCATACCTCTATCGCATAGAAATTCTGACGCACTCTTCCACTTCATCCACCATGTTCTGATTCTATGTGATACATCTCCATCTAATTCACCGTCCTTCTGAATTATGGAGCCCAAGTAACGGAACATATCGCTGACCGGTATCTCCTTACCATCTAGAGCAATTCCGCTACTACCACTGCTTATACCTCCACCAAACTTGCACTCCATGTACTCTGTCTTGCTCCGACTTAGTCTGAACCCCTTGTTCTCCAATGTTTCTCGCCATACTTCCAACTTTTCTTTAAGACCTGATTGCGTCTCATCAATCAAAACAATATCATCGGCAAACATTATGCACCACGGTATTTCGTCTTGGATTGACTTCGTAAGTTCATCCATGACTTTGGCAAATAAGAAAGGGCTCAGAGCCGATCCTTGGTGCACTCCGATAGTAATAGGGAACTCCGCAGTCCTCCCGACACTAGTACGGACATTTGTAGTACAATCCTCATACATATCCATGTTATGCTGTTATACTTGTGTGATATGCCTTTTCTAGTTAAGGCCCACCACAGAACTTCTCAAGGTACCCTATCATAAGCCTTTTCTAAGTCAATGAACACCAAATGCAAATCCTTGTGAGCATCTCTGATCTACACTTCTCCATAAGTTGTCGAAGAAGGTGAATGACCTCAGATGTTGAGCGACCAGGCATAAAACCGAATTGATTCTCTAAAATCTTCACAGTTCTTCATAGTCTTTGCTCAATCACTCGCTCCCAAAGTTTCATGGTGTGACTCATAAGCTTAATCCCTCGATAGTTGGCACAATCTTGTACATCAACTTTATTCTTGAATAAGGGGTTAAGAGTACTCTTCCTTCAACTCGTTGGCATCTTGTGGTTTCTCCAAATCATGTTGAAGAAACTTGTTAACCATTCGAAGCCTCTCTCTCCCAAACTTCTCCAAGCCTCTATCGGTATGCCATCTAGACCCACTGCTTTCTTCTGCCCCATCTTCCTCAGAGCCTCTTTAACTTCCGTTGTTTGGATCCTTATCACAAAACCACGATTTACCATACAATCTGGTATGGTCAAATCACTGACATCTTGCGCTTTGTTCCCGTTGAATAGTGTATCAAAGTATAACCTCCACCTCTCTTTTATCTCCCTATCCTCCATTAGTACCCGTTGATCGACATCTTTCACACACTTAACTTTTCCGTTATCTTGAGTCCCACGGTCATGAAGACGAGCAAGTCTGTAAATATCTTTTTCTCCTTCCTTAGAGTCCAATTTTGCATACAATTCTTTGTTCACTTTTCCTCTTGCTTCCTTTACAACTTTCTTTGTTCTTCTTCTAGCCTCCTTGTAGTCCTCTATGTTCTTGTCACTCCGACTTTTGCCCAATTTCTTATAGCATTCCTTTTTTATCCTTATTGCTTGTTTGACCTCATCATTCCACCAAGATGTGTCCTTTTTTTAATGGTAGACATCCTTTAGATTCTCCAAGTATCTCTTTCGCCACTTTGTTATAGGTAGACTCCATTGATAAGCACACATCATCCGCATGTGCGTCATTACCAATGGACCATACATCTTCCTCAAACATTTTCTGTGCAAAAGTTTGTTGGAGATTCCCCTCGAGCCTCCACCACTTTATCTTTGGCTCCCCTTGTACCTTAACCCTCCTTCTCTTTCTACCTTGAAAATCAAGCACACACATCCTATATTGAGTGACAACACTCTCACCTAGAATAACCTTACAATCAGTGTAGCTAGTTCTCCAAGTTGTTCGTACTAAAAAATAGTCAATTTGGGTACTGTTAGCTCCGCTTCTATAGGTCACAAGGTGAGAGTCTCATTTCTTGAACCAAGTGTTCATCACAGCCAACTCATATGTCGAGACAAAATCCAGAATGTTCTTCCCCGCTTCATTTCTAGTGCCAAAACCATGTTCGCCATGGATACTCTCAAAACCATCACGGCTTGGGCCCACATGCCTGTTGAGGTCGCCTCCTATGACCAATTTCTCTCCCCTTGGCACTTGTCGCACCACCTCTTCAAGATCCTCCCAAAATTGTTGAGTGATAGATGCATGCAATACCACTTGTGGTGCATAGGCACTTACTACTGACACGATCTCATCTCCTATAAGCAACTTAATGCTCATGATGCGGTCGTTCTTCGTGAAGACTTCCACCACACCCTCAACATAATCATGTGTCACCATAATGTCTACTCCATTTCTGTTCCTTTCTCTCCCCGAATACCACCACTTAAAACCTTCAGGATTAATCTCACGTGCCTTTTCTCCAACCCACTTAGTTTCTTGCATGCGCATTATGCTGACATTCCTCCTTTTCATAACCTCAGCTATCTCTGATGATATTCCCGTAAGAGAGCCAACATTCCATGTCCCAAAACGCAGTTTAGCACCCTGCCTTCTCTTCTTCACACCACATCGACTCCACCATGCCCTTGCATAATTGACACCATCCCCGGGCATTGCAGTGGCGCGTCGCTTCCGGGCGACGACCTAACAGCCTTAACATTCTTATAACCACACCCAGGCCTATGAAGTGTAACACGCCCTTGCATATTTGACACCACCCCCAGGTAGAGGGATGACGCGTCGTTTACGGGCGATGATATAGCTGTAGCGTTATTCATATTTTGATTTATGTCATGTGATGTGACTAAGTGATACTGTTGGCTGTCACGCGCCTACCACAGCACCCTCTTCCTTTATCATGGCTTGGGACAGGCATGATATAAAAAAAATGATCTAGACCTTGGCTGCAAAAATCATTTCCTTTGACGGTAACCATTTCTCAGTAGTTCTTCTCAGCAGGGGTGTTTTTGATCTGCTCTCCATCAGACCATCACCTATGTTTATTGTGCAAATCGTCATCCGGTAATATACCTTCAATTTCCTTTCAAATTGGTGCGAAAATCGTAATGTGCCAATTCAATTCTTTGAATTCTTTCTTTTTGTTGGATCAATAATGAAGTTCCTTTTTCTTTTTATTTCCTTTGTTCATTATTTCACTATACGGAAGATGATTATCCCTATTTTCTTTTTGTTTATTGCATGTGGTCTCGTAGATGTGTTTTCCTTTTCTCTGTTTTGTTATTCTTTTTTTTGAAATCATGTACTACTTCCGTCCAATAAAGAGTTGCAAATTTGACTTTTCTTAATCAAACAGTTCCATTTTGTTTACTTAATTAGGATGTCAATTTTTAATTATTTTCTAATTTGGATTTTACAACTTTGAAGATATTTTAATGTAGTTTTAGTATATGTAAATTTTAATTATTAAAAATTGAATGAATTATCTTTAAGAAGGGTTGACTTTTATTATTGGTTGATAAAAAATGTTGATTTTGCAAAACAAATTGGGACAAAGAGAGTATTTACTTTGCATGTATTTTAAAAATGGGCGGCATGCTTCACCAAACAATATACTCCCTCCGTCCCAATATAAAAGGCACATTTGCGTTTGGGAAGTTTTTAAGGGTGAACACTGTTTGAACACTGTTTAGACACTGTTTGGCACTGTTTGGACACTGTTTTACACTGTTTGGCACTGTTTTGCACTGTTTTGCACTATTTTGTTTGCCAAAAAGGGAAATGTGTCTTTTATATTGGGACGGACCGAAAAGGAAAGTGTGCCTTTTATATTGGGACGGAGAGAGTATTAATATTTTACGCGCAAAATGATTACATCATTTTAGCTTGAGTGTAAAATTTTAATGTACAAACAACTAAATCACAAGTAGATGATCTTTGAACTGAACATACCGCACATATTTTAGCACTGATTGATACAGTAGATTATCTAGTATAGAGATGGAAGGTGAAAGGGGTACTGTTGAGAACCCCCTCGTCCACACCCCAAAACCCAGGGTGGTGTGTTGTATAGGAGACATCCATGGCTATATGGCCAAGCTGCAGAAGCTATGGTCAAATCTCGAATCCCTCATCGACCCATCAGACTTCCAATCCGCCCTCGTCATTTTCTTGGGCGATTATTGCGACAGAGGGCCAGACACTGCCCGGGTGTTGGATTTCCTGATTTCGTTACCTTCACAATACCCAAACCAGACCCACGTTTTCCTTTGCGGAAATCACGATCTTGCCTTTTCAGCTTTCCTCGGAGTTCTTCCTAAACCGCCAGATGGCTCTGCTTTTGAGGACACGTGGACGGAGTTCGCCATGAGTGAGCAGAGGGAAGGTTGGTATAAGGGTGAAGGGTATGGAAATATGCATGTGCAGGGGAGGCGTTGGGCTGGGAAACACACAGAAACTTTCAATGTTAAGAAAGGAACTCGCTATAAGGGATCGATTTATGACGCTGGTTCTACTTTTGAGTCTTATGGAGTTCCGCATGGCTCTGCAGGTATACTCTGTTGCTTATATTCAATGCCACATTAACTTTGAATCCCTTTGGTTGTGTCTTTTTCAGCACAAAATAGAGATCCTCCAATATGCGCACAAGACCAATGTATTGGTACTAATTCCTCAAGTATTAATATAGTTTTCTTTGTGTTTGAATAATGTGATCCACACGGCTTACATAACATGTTAAGAAACCGAAAGATTCTAGTTTTCCCTTCAGGTCAATTTTGAGGATGAAATTCCAAAGTTTGATAAAGTATTATTATTAAACTGATGTGTAGTTAAAAATTGCACAATTTTGACGAGGTGTTTAGCTGTGAGAAATGGCAGGTCTGTGATTTTGTTATTAGAAAAAATGATACAGTATAGACGAGGTGTTGGACCAATGTAGGCCTGTATGAGAAAAAATGCATACTTTGGATGAGATAATTGAATGGAATGGAATCCTTAAGCCTTGATAATTTGAAATAGGGGCTCTTTATCATTTGGATTACTGGTATTTGTATTTTATTTCATTTTGCATGATGAAAAAATTGAATGGTAAGATACTCAGATGTGTATGGAAAAAATGCATACGTAGTACTACGTATTTCAGAAGATATGATTAAATGGAATTCCCAAGTCTTGATAATATGCATTAGGGACTCTTTTATTAGTTGGATTACTGGCATCTGTATTTTATTTGCAATTTCACAGAGAGAGAAAAATTTAAAAGTAAAATATTCAGATGAGGTATCAAACCACTAGGAGTTGAGGATATGTGCCTTTATTATTTTTAAAAAAAGTCTAAACAATATGTTGGACCAAGAAAGTGACCTTATGAGAAAAAAACACAGTTAAAAAGCGGGTAGGTTGAACTCCCAACTCCCAAGTGGCTAAGTCTGAATAATAGTTTGCATTAGGGAAATCTCTATCACAAGAATAACTAGTATTTGTAATTTATTGCTCATTTGCAGATTTTGTTCCTTCAATAGATAACTAGTGGTTACTTTGAAGAGAAACATTAGTTCTATCAATTTAGATTTCATTTACAAGTTAAAGGGTTACATTTTTTTTAAAATTTTATTAGTTCTAATTCTTTGATGATAAAATGAAACATGTGGTCTGTATCTTGCACAGAACTGATGAAGGCAGTTCCTGATGAGCACAAGAAGTTTCTTGCCAACACAGTCTGGATACATGAAGAGGTGAAATTGTTGTTTGTTGATTCCTGTGCAGCAAACAAGAGTACAAAATTTAAAACTGACTTCTCCATATTTGCAATCAGATGTTACATAAACATAGTCTCCAAGAATTTTCCTTCTGGATTATAAACTTGACTATGTGAACATGACTCTAATTTGACTCGCTGACATAAAGAACAATGTTCATTTCTAGTTTCCTATGAAACCTTCTTAGGTTCGGTGTAGATCTATAGTTTTGAAAGGGTTTAGATGGGTAGGATCTGGAAGACTTGATCTATATCTTGATAAATAGAAATACTCTAAAACATAAAAATATGATTACAATGTAATAGAATTGCATTTTATGTTAATCTTTCAATTTTATAAAATATTAGAAAAAACCAAGACAGAATTTAAGCCCATCAAGTCTTCCAAACCCTTCCCCTCCAAACCCTGCCTGCAAACAGATCCTATAAGACAGTTGCTAAAATATATGGAAACTTAAGAGACTATTATAAGAGACAGTTGGTAAAATATATGGAGACTATTATGTACTCATCAAAGATGTTGAACTCTCTCAGAATTCAGTCCGTTTTAAATCAATATATATTCCCTTAGACAAGTTGCAAATATTTGTTTTCCTATGTATGATTGTAGTCATTCTTCTTTAGCTTTTCCTGGTTCTTGCAATGACAATACCATAAAAACCTTCAAAAGGATATGTGATTTTGTTAAAGCTAATACTCCCACGGTCTCATATTAACTGACCTCTTTAATGATTAAAAATAAGCAAATCAAAAAGCTTATCATAAATACTCATTACTTGTCTGTAGGATAATGTGTCAGTAGAAACCAAAGAAGGAACTAAAAATTGCAAATTGATTGCTGTTCATGCTGGACTAGAGAAAGGTAATGATGTTCAAGAACAGATTAAAGCTCTCAAAGCTAAAGACACAAGCATCCCAAAAGTAGCAGCTCTTAGTGGAAGGAAAGATGTGTGGGATATTCCTGAGGTGGTTGATCATGAAACAACCCTACTTCCTTTTTAGTTAAACTGTATTGTTGTTTAATGATCTTTTCAAATTAAACATATGGTAATATATTAGGTTTCATCTATTGTGTGTAGGAACTGACTAAAACTCCAACAGTTGTGGTAAGTGGCCACCACGGTGAGCTCCACATTGAAGGCCTTAGGCTGATAATAGACGAAGGTGGTGGCCTAGAAAATAATCCCGTGGCTGCCATCATACTCCCTTCAATGAAGATCGTTCGCGACACAGATTGTTATAGTCAGGTGGCGTGATCTGGTTCGGGTGGGAAGGAAAAGACGGCCTGGGCGATTTTGATCATCGATTGGATAAATTATATACATGATATTCTTGTTACAACTACACAGTGTTCTTTAATTAGTGCAATTAAGTTTGGTTTCTAAAGTAGTTTTTAAAGTAGTTTTTGTTGATAATGGGTTGAAATTTCGCCAAACTGCTGTTTGTTGCATTTAGCACAATTCCTCGATGTGGTGAGTTTGATAAGTTCAATTACTCTGCACGACAACGTGCCATTGCAATTTGATGTTTCAACAGGATCCCTGTGTGGAGGGAAAAGTTACCCTGGCCGGGTGCAGATTATGGTTTTGATCATTGATTGGATAACTTAATCACTTATGCCCCTGTTATTTTACGTGACATTTCATTGTAACAAGACAATGTTGAAGTTTTTTTAGTTTAACTTTTGTAATATTTTGTTATGCATATCAGCATATGTAAATAAAACCTATTACTCCCACAACAAGAGTTTATATAAAACTAGCATCGATTGGGTGGCGGAGTTTTGTTGTTGATAAAAAGGGCTTCTACCATCTAACTTTTTTAGGATCTTGACATTGCGAGATGATGGCTACCCAATCTCAACCATCCACCGTCTTGGTATGAGAGGAATGTAAATGCTCAAAAGAGTCCTATTTGAGGTGGGTGATTAAACCGATGATTTTGTTAGTTGTTACTCTTTCTAGTAGATGGTGAAACAGGTAATTATATTCATTCTTTTTTTTGGTGGTTGGACAAATCGGATTTACACTCTTTTCATTATTTTGGTTAATGATCAAATTGAGATATGCTTTAGTTTTCTTTTACTGAGGGGTTGATGGTCAATGAGGTTGGAGTGGTCTGTGGACCGTTGCTACGTAGCTAAAGTTATTCTATTTCTTTCCACTTCACTTTTTCAAATTGTAGCATTTAGATTTTGACTTTTTTAGTTTTTTATTGTAAGGATGTTTTTCAGTCAATTTAACACTAGACAAGATCAGACATCGATAGTTGTAATTACACAAAGATCAGACACTGTCAGATCAGACAAGACCAGAAAATTTCAATCACAGTAAAGACATCATAATTTTGTGAGATGCATAGATCTATTTTAAGTGTTAAGGAAGTTTCAATAAAGGTAGGAGAATGTAAATCTTTAAGGTCAAATTAAGTTTTAGGATGCATAACTAAAATATATTCATTTGCTACTTTTATGCTTAATAGAATAGCATAAAAAATATACTTGTATCCTATTCTTTGAGGTAGTTTCATGTGATGTGTTTGAAGAATTTGATTATAAGGGAGTGGTGCCCAATTAGATGACATTTGGTTAAGCACTTGGCCATAATTAAATAAGCAATACTTAGAAAATAATTACTCCGTATAAGTTATTATAACACAAAGTGAGTACTTTATTTTTGGGTAACTTTCACGAGTTTACCGGAATTGGTATTCTTTCCTCCATTTCAGATACGAAAATCATTTGCAACAACCAAAATTTCACCTTAACAGCTCGACAATCAATTGTATCCAACGCTAATTGTGATTATTTTCATTTTAAAGCCTTCTTAAAATGAAAGCATTTGTGACTATTTTCACTGTGAATAATAATGATCATTCTACATAGGAAAAATGGAAACTAATAATCCAACCTTTTAGCGGTCTTCTTTCAATAATCCCACCTTTTGATTATTCATGAATAATTCAACCTTTGCACTTCATCTACATTCATTGGTCCCTGGTCGGTGAATAACCTATTATTCCAAGTTATTTTTTCATCTTTGCAAAATATTATCTTTGTGAAAGATGATATTTATGGTATAATGATTTGCAAAGATAAGAAAATAGCTTGGAATAGCAGGTCGTCAACCGGTCAGAGACTAGTGAATGAAGATGAGGTGCAAATGTTGAATTATTCATGAATAACCAAAAGGTTTGATTATTGTAAGAAGAACGCTAAAAGGTTGGATTATTAGTTTCCATTTTCCCTTCTACATATTGGGAAAGCAAGACAAGAAATCATAAAGAAAATCATCACATGAAATGCAAATCATACGTTCATAGATCACAGAGTTAGGTAAATGGAGAAAAAGTTAACAATGCCTTGACATTTTTTTTCTAATTTTCCAAACAAAAGCATCAACTTGTGAATCAACTAGTAATAGTACTAGTAGAACTTTGCTGCAATTGATGCAAAACGCTCGTCGGAGATGAGGCGGACGTCGAGGATCTCAGCGCCTCAGCGAGCGGTCCGCCGCCCATTGATGCCACCACTTGGCTCGTCCTCCACGAGTTCCGAAGCTCGGGGCGGCCGTTGCTGATTCCTTCTCCGGTGGCGGTGGATAGCTTAAGCGAGAAATCGGAAGTGGCATTCCCAGGGAAAGAGATGGAGAGGTTTGTGGCGGAGCTGGCGTCCGCTCCGGCGGCGCGTTCAGTCTCTTGAAGTGGTCTGGGCCAGTCGTCAAAGAAACGGCGCAGCGTTTGCCCACTTGATCGTCCGTCACTTGGGGCCTCCGATGGACCGTTTGGTCTCACAATGGGCTCCATCTCTCTGCACATAATAAAATTTAATGATAAATATTTCTTACCTCCCTCAATTTAATATTGGATCCCTAGTTGTAAGGATACGGTAGTACGGTACATTGTGAGCCTATTTGGTAGCACTAAAATAGTAAAATCGACTGATTTGGTTGATTCTGCTGAAATTTATATAGTTCTGGCTGAAGTGGATGCATTGACTGATTCTGATGATTTAAGAAAAAATTATTTTTAAAATATATTTTATTAATAAAATAAAGAAAAAATTATATGTAAAAATAGCTAAAATGGTCATTTATAGTAACATCAGGCAATAAAGCTAGAAAAATAACTTCAACCTTATGTTTTCGTCTTATTACACAATTCAGCACGCGAAAGCAAAATTTACGTGTTTGGTGAAAAAATTAACTGAAAATTCAAAAAACAGTGTGGTCAAATGACCTCTCTATCTGGGGAAATAACAGGCCTCAATGGATCACAATTTTGAAAAGGAATCCGTATTTTGTGTGTGAAAAAGAAAAGTATGCCAAACCCATTTCTTTTTGCATGAGAACCCGTTAATATTTTATCTGCCTGCTGCTCACCCGTATATACTAAGTACTCCGTATATACTAATAGAGGAATGCTCAGGTATATACTGCACATTATATGTGCGCAGAATGTGCAGCATGTTTCAAGAATTTATTTAAATGTCTTCTCAATCGAATTTTGAACTAAAATTTGGTATGGATAAACTAGACTTGATGAGGAACATGCTCAAAATATTTCATCAAAAAATTCTACCAAAAACCGCCTTAAACAGTAAAGTTCGGGCGAAGCCTCCCGTCCCTCGGGATGGACTTGAGCATTAGTCTACACTAATATACGTAGACTTGGAGAAAAATATCTTCAAATTGCGTGTATTTGAATCCCCTCTAACTACTCCCTCCTTAACAAAAAAATCTTCCCACTTTCCTTTTTTTTCCGTAACAAAAAAATCTTCTCACTTCTAAATCTTCTCATCATATCCTCAATAATTCTAAAAATAATCCACTATTACAACTACTTTTTTTGGATTTATCCTACATTCCATCACATTATTTCACTATCTTCCCATCATACCCTCAATAATTCATACATTCTTTCACTATTCTTAATCTATCTACTTTTGAAATGAAAAGATTTTTAAGTTATAGAGATAATATTTTTGAACATTTATCTGACCTTATCAACTCTCATGTCTTATTCCTGCTTTTTACCAGTAAGACCATCGCAGTAAAAGAGTACGAAGAGCTGGGAATAGACCACCAGCCAACCAGAATTCATTTTACGGGTACCATTGCACCAGCTAAGCGAATATAGTACTCCGTAGCAGTGTTCTAAAAGGCGCCGAAAGGCGGCGCCAAGGCGTGCCTACGCGTGAAGCGGGAGTGAAACGCCCCGCACAGCAATTAGGCGCGACTAAAGGCGTAAAAATATTCCAACCTCCAAATTTGACTCGCACAAGGCATGTCAAACTACGTAAGCCGACTACGAGAGTGAAGGAAGTAGAAGGGATTAATTTATAGGCGAATGTGAAGAGGAAATCTCCACTCCCCACCGGTGTGGGAAAACATCTTTGTCTGCGATACTGATGGGGAGTAGAAGGGATTATTATTTGGGCAAATGTGAAGAGGAAATCTCCACTTCTCACCGGTGTGGGAAAGCGTCTTTGCCCAGCTCCAGTGCTTCGTATGTAAGTATTATGTGCTCTATATTATATGATATTATTATATTATTGTTATTATATTATTATTATCATTACCAATATTCTTACCACTATCATTTATATTAGAGGTTTTATCTAAAGTATTACAAAGTACTGTAATAAAATTAATGGATAAAAAGTGTGACTTATTGTCTGTAAGTATATTTTTATGGTCACCAAATATAAAGTTAGGACTTAATTATTATATCTAGAAGTCATTGAATCGCATTTTTTGTCCAATATCCTTATTTCGGTCATATATTACGTAATATTTCTTTTTATTATTAATTATATTATCATTCAACGAGTTGTTCTTGTTCTGGTTTATGTGTAACTCGTAAATATATTTGCAAGATATAGGACTTGACAAATCTTTTTTGTTCAAAATTTGAATAGTATGATGTTTTTGAATAACATTACTTAACATTCAAATTAAATGTTTACAAATAGCTCTAGAAAAATCAAAATAAAGGATAAAAAATCAAAACGCCTTTTCACGCTTCAACCCCGCCTAATCCCGCCTAGGCTTCAAAGGCTTAAGGCTTGATCATGCCGCCTCGGCACGCCTTACGCCTTTTAGAACATTGCTCCGTAGTCCTTAATTTACAAAAAAAAATGTACACACCAAATTATACTTTTCCGATTCTTAAAACTTAACTTCAACCGATACAAGGATTAATAAAGTAAAAATAATGTGATTGAAATATAAGATGAAGAGAAATAGTTAACTGGAACTCTAAATTCTTTACTTAAAAGTGAAAATGACAAAGTTAGTGAGACATCCAAAAATGGAAAATTAACAAAAATTTTAAGGGACGGAGGGAGCATGTGTTTGTGAGAGCCTATTTTATACTGCCCCGTCTCAATGGACTTTGAACTCCTTGAATTAGGTGAGAAATAAGAATAGTAAAAATTGTGTGGATGAAGTTTGTCCAGAAAAGAGAGAAATGATTAGAACTACAAAAAAATTACTTTAATGGGAAAGCGGCAAAATTTTTGGGACAACAAAAAAAGAAAAGTTGGCAAAGTCCAATGAGACAGAGGGAGTATTTGTGAATTATTCAAAAACAAAACATGATCCGTCTGTGAAGAAGACATAAAATACCTGCTCACAAATGTGTGTAAGAT